TGTTCTGCCCAACGAGCTATACGACGCTCTTTATTGTGTATCAGCGCACCCGCGCTGTCTCTGATTGTCTCACTGATGCCTGGTTTTCTGGGACCATTGGTGCGGATTAGCTGGAAGAGCTTGCGGTAATTGCCTACTGCTCCTGCCTCCTCCATTTCTTGAGCCCTTCTGGTCCACCAGGCTTCCTTGTCAGCACGTAGGCTCCGCTTTAGTTCACGCCTAAAATCGCGTCTGGTCACATTGTGTTCAGAGCCAGCCTGCAGGTGTCTTCTAGATTCCAACAGGTTCACCGACCTCTCGGATATCCAGTGACTGGTGCGGTGATGATGGATAGTGCCACAAGCAGATGCTCCTGCGTCGTGCATGGTAGCCGAGATCTTATTCCACTGAAGCTCAGTGTCATTAGGACAAGACAGCGGAAGTTCGATACGCAGCGTTTCTTGATACGCTTGCCTGACCGAGGACTGAGACAATTTCTCCGTTGACAATCGTAGGGGATGCTTGATGCGCCTCCCGGCAAAGTTCATGGAGAAACGACAGCGTACAAAGGCATGATCAGAGTCGACACAGGTACTCCAGTATGAGCGGCAATCCAGGATGGAACCACGCCTTCTGTAACTTATGGCAGTGTGGTCAGTTTGGGTCCATCGCTGGCCAGCTACAGGAGGACGCCAAGTGGCACTTCGGCGCCCACTGTGTCTAAAAGCAGTGCTAGTAAGAAACAACTGGTGCTCCGCACACAGTTGCAACAAACGCTTTTTGTTTTCAGTCCGTTCGGAGTTAAGCCCATAATTACCACCCAGCTGAGCTTCTGAAGAGCTCAGACGCCCTACTTGTGCGTTCATATCTCCTGCGAGTACTATGATATGTGAACTAGTAGTACTGCGTAGTAGCGCGTTCAGTTCGTGATAGAATGTGTCCATGACAGCATTTGAACTGCAGTCGGTGGGAGCATAAGCGGTAATCACAAACAAACAGCGTTTTTTGCTACTTCGTGAATCAACCTTGGATGATGTCGTCAAACGGGCTGCACATAAACGGTTGTTCACCGGAATCCAATCAACCAACGATGGTTCAGCCTTGGAGCTTAGAGTGATACCTACACCAGCTTGATCCGTGAGTGCTGCATCGGCGTCTCCGGATGCGTGCAAACAATAACGAGAGGATAAGCCGGGTGCAATTAATTCAGTAACCCACAGGACGCCTGCGCCTACAGAGGGACCATGGATGGCTTGCGCTGAACCACCCACAGCTCCAACCACATACCCCATATCCAGTGTAAACCCGAAGGAATAAGGCCGGGAGGCATGCGGATGGGAACCACGTTACATCAAGGGAGCCGGCCCACACTCCTTCACAGCCAAACACAAGCACGTTGTATATATATATATATATATATATATATATATATATATATATATATATATATATATATATATATATATATACATATATATATATATATACATATATATATATATATATATACATAGTAGCTTCCTTTTCCTTAGCACACCTAACTTCAGTATGACGGTTGAACAGCGGGAAATATAGCTACCCTCACTCGTGACTAATATGTGGAACATAGCAACGTCAGCAAGTTGATCGCTAGTCAGTTACTTGCCGAGATTATTCAGTTTATATATGTATATATTTATATATACATATATAGGACAAATTGAGTATAATGACCAGCAATTATCCCTGCCGCCCAAGTACTCTACAACGCCTCCTCGCTTTGGAATGCATTTTGGAAAGTCGGTGTTCAAGGCCCAGGCAGGCACCTACACGTTGGCCCATCTTTGTGTAAACTAAATGATTCCGGCAAGTAACTGACTAGCGATTTATTTGCTGATGTTGATACCACATGTTATGTTCCACGTATTAGTCACAAGATTGAGTGTAGCTATATTTCCCCGCTGTTCATCCGTCATACTGAACTTAGGTGCTCTTAGGAAATGGTAGCTACTATCCAGCTAAGCCTTGGAAAGGCAAAAGTGTCTGCTACATTTTGAATTAGAGATGGCCAATCATCTGGATTGACATAGCTGTAGATCAGTCCAACTATGGTGTTGCGGTAGTGTTTAAGTAAATATTGCATTGAAAAATAAAACAACGCAGAGCAACAATTGAATTGCAGCGCACAGTAGCTAAAACAGTTTGAGCAGTTTTTCGATAACCGAATGTAGGACAGGACGCAGCGGGATTTACTAGATGTATTCTTTCTGTGATCGCCTCGTAGCGGTTATCAGAGAATCTGTGATATTACCGTCTTCTAAAGCATATGGCAGACGGCATGTCCAGCACACACTAATGATAGGACATCGCTGTTTTACTGTACCTCTTATTTGTTCATCCTTCCACTTGGTAACCGTAATGATGTCATTCGCTTCCCTATTTCTATCTTTGTCTTTATCTATTGTTAATGCCCACACTTCTGACTAAATTTATGGCTGCCATTTGGGTTGAAGTTTAAATGCTAACTAGCCAACAACAGTCGTACTGGTTGCTTATAGTTGTACGTGAGGTCTTTCAACATCAGTGGAATATGGCCGTTATTCTTACATTCAATCCATACTGGCGCACGTTCGTAGTATTACTGCTTATGAGGGTTATTGTTTCTCCATCCAGTTTGTGGTAGTCCATACACAAGTGTGAACAAATGCCCGTTCACAACATTACAGTACTGCAGCTCGAACCAGGGACCTTTGGTACGTCAACTGATATTTTGAATTATTAAGTGGAAGCCATTTAGAAACACTTGTAAGCGCCACACTTTAGCCTAACAGACTGATGGCAGTTTCTCTCGCTTGACACTGTTATTTGCTGGTTTGATGTCTTAATGAGACTCTCCTAAATTACAAGTCCCGCTAACATCTGTTCGTGTCTCGCTACGTTTCCACTTGATAGATGGATTTTATTACGTCTCTTCTCGTGTGACACCATGACTTATTGCGGGTTGCAATATGAGGTAAATATATCCCATCTCAAGTGTCTCTATACGTCACCTTGTACTGCTGCCACCTTCAGGTAAACGCACTGAGGTTCAGACAAGTCATCAAGCTTGATTCCGGAACAACGGCAACGCGATGTGACATTCAAATCAAAATGCTTGGGCATAAATAGCATTCTAGGCACTAATGAATTGGTCGAGATACGCTAGTGGTCAGAATGAATGGCAGAGGGGAATAAGTAGTAACACACGACGGACTGCTTGTTGGTTCTACATCTTTGTTGATTCTCGCTCACCTCGGACAAGAGACGACCGGACCGGCTCTAGTTTTTTCTTCCGACACGGATAGCCTGCAGTGGACATAATCGCACCATTTTTCTGCTAACTTGAAAAGTTGCTTACTCCATCCCCGTCATTTTCTTTGTGCCATCCTTATTCTAAATCCTGCTTGTAAGTCGCGCTTGGGTACTGTTTTATTTTAGAATGATTAACTACTGACGTGGAACTTGGTACAATGTAGTATGATTATTGCATTTGCCTACAACGGATGATCCACATCTAATTTATCTTCATTGGACTTACTTAACTCGGTTGTATTTAGCGATGACTTCGCATGTTGCTCATTACAATGTTGTGCTCATCATGACCTCTACTATGCTATTCTTGCTACCTTCTCAAGTGGAGTCTATTATGGTTACATACCGGCCGCGATTCACGTTACTATGTAAGCTCCAGGGTAATACCCACCAGACTATGCTATTTACATTCTGCTCCTTGAAACCGATTTCTAGATTACATAACCGTAGCTTGGCAATCTGCCCAATGTTATAACTAGCACGGCACTTAGCCGGTGCATCGCAGAATAATGGTTCAGTCCATCCATGAGCTCATTCGTATTTGACGTGCGCGCGGTATTTCCGAGCGAGCTGTGCTGTTCATACGGATCATTACTAGGGTGGCAAATTATTGAGTATGTTTCCAGTTCGGTAGATACGTGTGAACCCAAGGATTACCAGCGCTTGGCCGCTTACAGTACGCATAAAGTGTAAAGTTTGACATCTGGAGTACACAATGCTCAACGATTGTCCCTCAAGTGACTAAGTTGGGCTATGCATTTCAAGAGAAATTTCCCTGGAAATTCTGTGGCAAGTGAACAATCTCGACAATTAACCGACTAGCGATTGTTACGATGTCGCCAGTTTATGTTCCACTCGGAAGGTTAGTGATGAGTGTGTGCATAGATATATTTTCAGTTGTTCATCAGCCATACTGAACTTATCGGGGCTTATGAAAACCCGCGTACTAAGCGGATGCAAAGCGGAAGCGCAGTGACGCCTACCAAAAGTTGCATCGCACATGGCCAATTTTTTGAATAGACTGAATAGAAGCTTAAACCCAACGGGAATGGTATGTCAGGGTCTTATTATATTGCGTCGGAAAGAAATCGGCGCATAGCAACAATCGTTTTATGAGCACCGAACCCTCTCACCCGAGACGTACGATACGGATTATCACATAGCTTATGGTCACAGCGGAGTACATATCGGAGTGTACAAACGATTGAGTACTTGGACATTTGCAAAACAATGCGAGCACTGTTTGGAAAATCGCCTGTTTGATAGTGGGCAGCGGGATTTAGTTGATGTCACCTCTCAATATCCAAGGTTGCGCATCAATCGTTCTTTAACTAACTGCACATACCTCGGGCAGCAGATGATCGAACCGGTCGGCAACACAGAGAGCTAGAAGTGGACACTCCATCGCATTCATATGCTGTTCAATCTCCCCCATCAGCTGCGCAAACCATACTGTACATATAGACGACAACACCTAAGTACACACTATTTTACTGCACCACTTGTTTGTTTATCATTCTACCTAGCAGTTGCCTCACTATTCCTATATCCGGTTTCTTCTAATATGAATGCCTAAAATTTAAGACTGTCACGTTCGTATTGGGTACTTATTGTCATGCTTGCGAAATTGGCTGTTAGCCTGATCTCCACACGAAACCCATACACGTTTGTACTGCCATCGATCATGAAATCTAATGTGTCTCCATCCAGTTTGTGGTAGCTCACACTTCAGTTTGGATAAACGCATGTGCGTATGTTGTATTCAAACTGCCATTGGACACAGATGACGCCAATACATGTATATATGTATACCGAATGAATTCGACGAGGATACTCATACCGCTTTTGTACGACCAACTTAGTGCATGGAAGCGGCACTCGAGCAAACGGAAAATAACAGTACCAGAATATGAAGAAGGTGAGTTTATGACAAACTCATGTTGATTTCAGATGCTGCGAGTCTTAGGCAACTTTGATCGATGCGAATTCCGTGGACTGCTCAAATGGGTGGTTGCTCAGGTGCAAGAGAAGGCACTATTGCACGCGGAATAGAAGCACGATGCGTACGCTCCCATTCAAATTATTAATTCTGGCCAATAAGACGACGTATGTGGCACCTTTGCCTGCTTGCTGAGTAATCTTGCATTTCAGAAGCAGATGTTGTTTGAGCTCCCCGGTGTGGCTGCGCCTGATGTGCATGTTGACAAGGTGCCTACCTGTCTATTACCCACTACCTCGTCCATACTGGCTCCAGGAAACAGTTGCTCGTTGCTGCAGGGGACGGGGTGCACCGTCCTCGTGACGGTGCTAGGCTCAAGGAGTGTTTCCATCCTGTGTGGAGCGGACTACGGTCCAGCCACCGCCTTGTGTGCACTTGGTTCCCAAATACTGCGTGCCTGTGTTTGCCTGTGAAGGAGTGTGGGCCGGCTCCCTTGATGAAACGTGGCTCCATCCACATGCCACCCGGTCTTATTCCTTCGGGTTTATACTGGATATGGGGTGTGTGGTTGGAGTTGTGGGTGGTGCAGCGCATCATCATCATCATTACACGTTAGCTGGAGGTGGAAAACACCTCAGCTATTGTGCCGCAATACAAAAGGCAAGAAAAGAAAAAACAAACAGTGGCATGCCCGCGGAGTCCCCAGTAACGGATGGACATCGTTCCGGAGAGCTAACAGCTGGCTGCCGTAAAAGAAAGTCATATTATGCCTAACGATTGAGATCGTGACTGGAGGGGGATGCTAAACAGGAGGGGGATGGACAAAGGAACTCACAACACAAACGCCATTGGGGCCGGCTCCTAGCCATATCAGCAAGTGTGTCCAGCCAAACGTGTTCACCGTCCTTAGGACCCCAGCCAGGCAGTCGGGATGCACCAACCGACGCCAACTGGTGCAGCGCAAGCCATCCATGATCCCTCTGTAGGTGGAGGCGTCCAGTAGCTGTTCTATGGTGGCCACAATAATTGACATTCCGGATTTGGATGCTGCTGACCATATGTATACGCATCTTCCCAAGTCATTGGATAAATCACTGTCAAGGCAGTATATTTGGTCCGATTCGCAGATGCTTCGCGCTTGGTTGACTTGGGTAGGACCGTTGCATCTGCGCCTACTTGCTCCATCTGAATGAGGTCTAACTGCGGTTACAGCCATCTACAACTTCCGGATTGTTGCTCCTGGCTCTCTCTTGCTCTCTGAATAGTCGGATCATCTCAAACAACTACGGAAGGTACAGAACCTTTCCTCTGACAGGATGAGCCGATCTTAATTTTAATACTCTGTGGAAACAATCACCACGTCTGTGTTAATCACAGTGCCTCCCCCGCTTTTCAGGAACTGACGAGCGCAATGTAGCCGTTCGGCGAACGCTGTTTCAGCAATTAGTGTTGGTAGGAAACATACAAGCATTTTCACGCATAAGGGTAGCCACTGTTTACAGTTGTCATAACGCAAAATAATGAAGGCACCGGCAGTACGTCGGTACACCGTACCGACGCTTCGCTGCCATACAACCACCACCGGTCGCGTGTTGTCTAAGGACAGGCTCGAACCGGTGACTTCAGGATTCCAAGGCAGGCGTGTGCTCCTTTCGATCATAACGCGAGCCTACATCGTGTTGGTCACCCACACGTAACTTATCGCTGGATACTTTTCAAATTTGAGCTTTCAAACCAAAAGTCAACACTATGCTTTCTGCACTCCTGTCATGACGAAGGAGCTTGTTCATCTGATAATATAGGTCTTCTATGGAATCAGCGCTGCAGTTTGTGTGCGCGTAGGTGACGGTGATCAGCAAACGCTTGTTATCCTCGCGCGACTTTGAAGCTCTGAGCTAATCAGCCGCTCTGCTAGCACGTTTCTGATCACGGATTGTAGTCCATTGGATCAGAACAGCTTTAGATTATGGATTCAGACCAATATCCGTATTGGTTCGACCGGCGTTGTACACCGCGTTATCTCCTGATAGATAGACACAATGAGAAGGCGCTGCAACTGTCAAATGAAGGAAATCATGGAGTGAGCAGCCATACTTCCAGTAAACATCATATATTGATAGAGTCTAATTTTCGGTTATCATCATCATCATCATCATACACGTTAGCTAGAGGTGGGGAACACCTCAGCTACTGTGCCGCAATACAAAGAAAAAAATGAGAGAAAAAAACAACTGGTGAAAGCTGGCTGAGCTATCGGTAACGGATGGGCATCGTTCCGGTAAGCTACCAGCCGGCTGCTGTGCACCCAAAAAAATTATTATGCAAAATTATATAAGGCTAAGTAATGAGATAGTGGTTGGAGAGGGAGGCTAAGAGGGATGGGGTGGGACAAAGAAACTCACAGCACGAACGCCACTGAGGTCGGCTCCTTGCCATATCAGCAAGTGTGTCCAACCAAACGTGTTCATCGTCTTTCGGACCCCAACCAGGGAGCCGAGACGCTCCAACCGATGCCAGCTTCGAAGTGAGGGCCTTCATTCCTCTGGACCAAGTCATCGCTTGGCCACCCCTCCTCTTCTTCCATCCACACCTCCGGCGCGCAAACAACACACGTCGCGGGAGTCGGTGGGCTGGCATGCGTAACACGTCGCCGAGCCATCGGAGCCTGGTGCGTGAAATAACGGCGCTGAGCGGTTCATTTCCTTTTCCTGGGCCATAAACAAGGCGTCGAACACGCTCGTTACTCACGCGGTGTTCCCACTAGATGTGAGCTAAGTTGCGAAGACACCGGTGGTCGGAGATAACTAGCCTCTTCAGGTCCGCTGCTTTAAGCGGTCAGGTTTCACAACCGTACAATAGGGTCGAACGTACTGCTGCATTGTACACTCTACCCTTCAGGGCAAGAGTGATGTCGCGCCGGCGCCATAAGTGGCGAAGGTTAGCAAAAGCGCCCTGAGCTTTCGCTATACGATTCGTGATCTCATCTTCAATCCCACGGGCGCTGATACAACTTCCCAGGTAGTTGAATTTTTGAACGACTTCTAGCTGATCCCCACCAAGGGTCAGCGTAGGAGGCGGTCCAGACCAATCTTGGAGAAACGCTTTGCACTTCGAGGGTGCGAAGCAAAGCCCGAAGTGACGGACAGCTAGTGCTAATCTGTCCAGTGCCGCTTGGCACATTTGTGAGCTGTCACAGATTAGGGCAGTATCATCAGCATACTCTAAATCAAGAAGTCGTTCTCCTGGGAGTAGCTCCACACCTTCTAAGTCGTGTCCTGTAAACGCGGTTTCCATGACTTCGTCAACAGCGAAGTTGAAGAGGAAAGGTGACAGCGGGCATCCTTGTCTCACGCCGCTGGAGATATTAAAGGGCGACGACAACTTGCCATAAGCCCTCACTCTGCCCGAGCTACGCGCATATAATGCTCGGATAATATTCACATATTTCTCAGGTACATCTTTCCTGAGTAGACAGTTCCAAAGTGCATGTCTATCCACCGAATCGAATGCACCTTTGATATCGAGGTACACGACAACGGTGTGCCGCCAATATATGTGACGGTGCTCCAACAACTGACGCAAGGTGAAGATGTGGTCAATGCAGCTACGACCTCGACGAAATCCAGCTTGCTCTTCACGAATCTGGCTTTCACGAGTGCCAGTCAGTCTGTGAAGGATGACAGAGGCAAGCAATTTGGAGGCGATGGAGATCAGACTGATTCCTCTATGGCTGCCGCATTCCGATCGTGAGCCTCCCTTGAAAATTGGGACTATGATGGAGCGGCTCCAATCGGTAGGGACAGTTTCCTGCTCCCACAGTCTCACTAGTAACTCGTGTAAATCATCCACAAGAGCAGGTCCCCCGAATTTGAAGAGGGCTGGAGGAAGGTCATCAGGTATCGCGGCTTTATTTAACTTCAACAGTTTGATCTCATGTTCGACTTCTGAGCGAGAGGGTGGATCCAAAGGAACAGCCCACGGAGCAGGGCGATCACTGGTCGGCGAGAAACCTAACAATTCCGACCGATTAAATTGCCTTTCAAAGTGCTCAGCCCAACGTTCCAGGCGTTTTGATAAGTTGTGGATAGGCTGTCCACTCTCGTCACGTACAGTTTTACTAACACCAGGTCTCCTTCTGCCCGTTTCCCGTATAACACGGAATAACTCACGATGGTTACCAAGGGCAGCGGCCGCTTCCATCTCTGTTGTACGACGAGACTACCAGGATTCGCGGTCTCTCTTCAGGCTAGCACGGAGTTTTGCCCGGAGATCTTTGCAGGTTTCATTGTGTTCGCTTTCAGCCGGAATATCCCGGCGAGCATCTATAAGTTCCAAAGACTGTGAAGAGACCCAATGTTCATGTTGGCGATTAAACATACCACATGAGGATTTGCCTGCTGCAAGTAAGGCCTGTTGCATATGAGACCAGTGAGCTTCAATTGCATCCAGTGAGCGTTTATCCAACTCGGATGACAGCGTAATTTGATAGGCGTTTAGGACAGCTGGATTCACCAGTCTGCCGTTGTCAATACGCTCACAACATCGTCGCGGGCGTCCGCCAAAGCGCATCCGCAGGTCAGCATATACAAGTGCATGATCGGTGTCAACACCTGTGCTCCAAATCGAGCGACAGTTCTGGACGCAGCCTCTCCAGCGGTAACTGATAGCAATGTGATCGATTTGCGTCCATAGCTGGTTCGAGGCTGGTGGGCGCCAAGTCACCCTCCGGCGGGTGCTGTGTCGGAAATTAGTGCTCGCAAGTAATAAGCGAGCATCCTCACACAAATGAAATAACCGCTCACCGTTATCATTACGGGAGCCTATACCATGTTGGCCGCCCAGATGCAGCTCATCCGTGGATAATTTTCCAACTTGAGCGTTCAGATCCCCAGCCAGCACAACAGTGTCCGAGCTTCTTCTGTGGCGAAGGGGTTCGTTCAGTTGGCGATAGAAGTCGTCTTTTACCGAGTCATCGCTAC